TAATCGTATGTGAATTATGTATATAACTTCAATTTGAAGACGTGCGCGGCAAGTAGTAGGAACCCGTTCAGAAATAAAATGAAATAAAGTTATTCAGTAGACAATTATAAAAGGGATAATATCGATCTCTGAAATAATTTAATATCAAATAATGACTTATGACAAACAAACAATAATAATTGACAGGTGAAAATTCAAATTTAATTTTAACAAGTATCCCATGTGTTCAAATCTTTGTTTGATATTAAGTTATTTTAGCAGTTTTTTATTAATATTCTCCAATTATAAAACTGAAAATATATTACACATAAAGTTCATACGAAGAGAGGCCTAGATATATAATATTCAGAGCTCAGAAACTTGACGTGTCGACTTCAGCGTTAGATAATCTTTTGCAGAGTCGGATTATCTATGAAAAGCTTATGTTCCACCCTTAAATCATATGATTAGGAAGCAATAACCTAGAAATTTCCTCTCTTACCGGCCCTTAAAGAATTATGTTCCAATAATAAGATTTTTGAGAGGAGATATTAGGTCACATCACAAGCACTTGGTGAATGCTCGTTTAAATTACATCTTCATTTTTTAGTTTAATCGAGTTGCAAGGTTTATACACACACACCTATAACCATGTGATTGAATCAAATTTGAGCATTATCTAATTCAATTGGTGGTAGCTCTCTCACACAAACTCAAATCTAAGACATTGTACTTAAATAGTTATAGCCTGGTACAGTGGACAAATTCATTTACATCTTAATAAATAAAATAATAATAATAATAATAATAGAAAATTTTTTTTATAAATGATATTTTTTACAAAAAAATTTTATTTGGGCATGGTAAAATTGAGAGCTAAAATTTACTAAGCTTCGAGTTAAAAAATTTAATTTTGGATCTAGGTTAAAAAAGTAATATGAAATAATGGATTTAAAATTTAAAACAAGGGGTGCAAAATATAAAAAAAGAGATGGTGTAAAATATGAAAATATATGCTCTTGTACATATAATCAATCTTTTCCAAGTAATGCCGCTTAAATGTATGTGACTCCACCACCGCTTTTCACTATGACCAATATGCCTTGTGGTGAGTTTGCAAGGGCATTTATAACAGAAAATTCAGTCTGTTTTTTATCTTTGGTACGGTTTTTTATTAAAAAAATATCAATTTTAAATTTTACTTGTTTATTCTTGCTTACAAGTTCAGTATTTAAATTATTTCATTCAAGGGTTTTCATTGAGCTCAGATGTAATATTATTCTCCATGTAATGTTCACGGCATACAATAATACCATCAAATAGTATTACCAAAAAAAAAAAACCAATAATACCACCAAATAGTTATTGATCTCTGACTTCCATTGAGATAATATATATCAATAAATTGGCTTTTACTTATAGATTTCCAGAGCGGCTGTCAGTAACTTGGGTATCTGGAACCTGATTTGCTAAATTTAGGAGAAAAAATTCAAGTCCTTGAATTATTATGTTTTTTGGTATTCAATCCTTGAATTATTTTAATCTCAGCTGACTTGACTATTTTAAATTTAAAAAGAAAAAAAAATAATGAAAGAAACAGAAAGTTTTGACGACATTATGCAATTAAAGCAACGGGCCTAGCTATAGCTATGACCTCAATAATATGAACATACTCCATTCTTCTGAAGTCATGAACCTCGCTTTGAATACGGGTTTTATGGCATAGATCTGCTTTGCCAATTACCATATAGCGTGTGTGTAGGGTAAGATTTATATATTTATTCTTAAATATTTAATATATTTATATCAAACCAAATCACGATATATAAACTTTAATATATTAATTTAATTAATAATAAAAATTTATTATATAAAAAATAATTTATAAAAAATTTATAAATAATTTAATTTAATTGGATACAAATATATTAAGTATATAAGCATAGGTATATAAATTTTCTCCATATACATATATCAATAAAAACAAACAAATAATACTTAAATAATTTAAACTTGCCTATCGTTTGCTCGCTGATGATCTTGGTTAAAAGTTGATATATGGGAGAATGGTGTTGAAGTTCCACACAAGATAATTAATTACTGTATTATTAATATAGTTTAGTTCAGTTGTCAATGGACCTTACAGTAACTAATTCCTTATGTGAGACGTATTTGTAATTCTCCCTTGATATATTCTTTTTTTTTGGCTTGAAAAAGTTGATATATTCGATGTCACTGTATTTGACTATATACATATCTAGCTTGTATGTATATATACCTGCAAAAATTTTGGATTCGATCAAGCCACGTCTATGCAGTATATTGGAGTATCTACTGAATAATGGAACTCCTTTTGACTCAGAATAATGAAAAAATTGGATCCTCCCAATTATTGTAAATATCCAAATAAAATAATATTCTGACACTTTATGAGGCTTGCATTTCATTTTCATCCTCTTTTTTTAAAAAAAATACTTTACATATTTATTTTTGTAAACATGGAAAATAGAATATGGATGAAAATAAGGTTCAATGCGACGTAAATTAAAGGGCATTTATGTAATTAAGGTGTTCGACATTGTCCCCAAGGTAAAGCTAGCTGGTTACTGTATTCAATGCACAGTACATATTTTATTACACACACATCGTGCCAAGGTTCAGCCGAGGATCACATTGAACCTGAGTCGTTAACAATTAGTTCGTTTTCTACATTTAATAATTCAAATTTTGGTATAAAATTCATTTAGTTTGAGGTGACATGAAGATTATCGTGCAAATTTGGATGTCTACAGCATACTTTGAAAAAAAAAAAAAAGACTAGGCATATTATCTCCTTTCTCTTTTTAATTTCCCATATCCAGTGCATATACACATTAATAATCTACAACAAGTTATGAATGCATGATCCATTCTTCAAACCTTTCACAGTCACATATCCCATCATCTAGTCTGTGTATATATAGCTGCAAACGTTTCAAATTTTAGTATACATCCCATGTGTCTATGTGTATACCGAAGTATTTGTCGAATTACAATATAAGAAATATAAGAAAGGAAAACATATTTATTAGTTTCTATAATTTTATCAAAATTTGCTTTTAGTTCCCACAATTTTTTAGTATTTTCAATTTTTATAAGACTAAAAACACTAAAATTATGGGGGCCTGAATAACAAATGTCACTCAATTATATTAAAATAATAGGAACCAGAAACACTAAAAAAAATCTACAAAGATTAAAAGCAAAAATTAATAAAACTATAATGACCGACTATTATATGTTCTCTGCAAGAAAATTGGATTCTTTATTCCTGATGAAGTAGAGGTCCAAAAAGAATGTTCTAACACTTTCTAAGGCTCACATTTGATTTTCATACTTTATTTTTTAGGAGAATGACAATAAAATTTTAAAAGAATGAATTAATGACAGTTAGATCTTTGATAAAATTTTCTGTAAAATAACTTTTAAATTAATATTTATAACTAATTTTTCAAAAAAGAAAAACTTAGCTATCATTAATTTTTTCTTTTGGGACTAAACTATCATTCTCCCTTATTTCTTTTTACCTTCCAATTAAAACTGAAAAATATGTAAAAAAATTTAAAAGAAAAAAGGTAAAAAAAATATTTTTCTCTCCCTATATAAAGTCTTTTAGTTTTTAAATTATTTGTCGATAATTCAAGATAAGCCTAAATAAATTCAAAAAACTTATGGCTGAGCTTTAAAAAAATATTTTTTATGTTATTGTCAAATACACCTCAAAAAATTCTTGCCCGAACTCAAATAGCAACTCAAGTTTTTAAATATATGTGTGTGTATAATATTTAAAATTAAATAATGCTTTTAATTTTTGTTCAGTTATGCTAAGACGTCATATATATTTGAACACATTATTATAGAAATTTTCTTAAAAAGATAAAAAATATTAATAGTATGATATTTTATTCCTTTTAATCTATAAAATGTTTTAAAATAATATTTAAAATGTATTTTAATCTTAATTTTTAAACTTTAACACCCACAACTTTTTTTAAAAAAATTCATTCTCATAATTTTTTTAAGTATTTCAAAAAGTGTATTGTATTTTTTTAATGATGATAAAAATATTAATTGCAAATTAAAAATTAAATTTTTAAAAATGAAAGAAATTAACAACTCAAATATTAGGGTCAGCCTAAATAAAGTTGAAATCCAAGAGTATTGAGGTTAGATTTGGCTATATAAACATTTTTTTATAAGTTTAGACTTATATTTATTCCGGCCCGAAACACGTTATTATAGAAATTTTCTTAAAAAGATTAAAAAATATTAATGTTATGATATTTTATTCCTTTTAATCTATAAAATATTTTAAAATAATATTTAAAATGTATTTTAATCTAAATTTTTAAAGTTTAACACCCACAACTTTTTTTTAAAAAAATCATTCTCATAAATTTTTTAAGTATTTCAAAAAGTGTATTTTATATTTTTAATGATGATAAAAATATTAATTTTAAATTAAAAATTAAATTTTGAAAAATAAAAAAAATTAACAACTCAAATATTTAGGTCAGCCTAAATAAAGTTGAAATTCAAGAATATTGATATTAGGCTTGACTATATAATTTTTTTTATAAGTTTAGACTTATATTTATTCCGATCCAAATAAGTCAACCCTACTCAAATGACTGATTTTACTTTTTATAGGAAAGGTAGGGAAAAAAATAAAGATAAAAAGTGTTTTTTTACTCTATTTTTTCTCCTAATTTTCTATCTCCCTATTTTCTTCTTATTCTAAACAAAACTCAAAGGTACTTTACACATTCATTTTTGTAAATATAGAAAATATGGGATGTAGATGGAATTAAAAAAAAAAAAGGCTCAAAAGCAAGGGAGAGGCCATGAAGGACATTTATGTAAAATTGCCCGACATTCTCCTCTTGGTAAAGCTAGCCGGTTATTATATTCAGCGTTCACTCAATGGTACATGTTATTATATATATATCGTGCCTAGGTTTCAGCTGAAGAACACATAGAACTTAAGACTTGCACAACATCGGAATGGAGGATCTGGGGCAGGATTATGGTTCCGAGAGAAGCCAGAGAGTGACAGGGAGGTCAAGGTGGACTCCCAAGCCGGAGCAAATCCTAATTCTGGAGTCCATCTTCAACAGTGGGACCGTCAATCCCTCCAAGGACGACACTGTCAGAATCAGAAAGCTTCTCGAGAAATTCGGCACCGTCGCCGACGCCAACATCTTCTACTGGTTCCAGAACCGCCGCTCCAGATCGCGCCGCCGCCAGCGCCAGCTGCAGCAGCTAGCCGCCGAAGCCCTCCACCAAGATAATGATCACCAGCTTCAGCCTCATCAGGTTGGCGGTGCAGGTGCAGGTGCAAGTGCAAGTGCAAGCCCAAGTCCGTCACCATCCTATCATCATCACCAGAGCAACCCTGCATCTGATCCTGCAGTTTTGGCGGCTTATAATGGCGGCTGCTCCTCGTCTTATCTCGCTTCCCAAGAACCAATGGATCATGCTCTTTTTTTCCCTGCTGATCACATGGGTTTCCCCGAAATTGATCACAATTCTGATCTGAATTTCCATTCTGGTAATTAATTTGCATGAGCTTGGTCTGATTTCTTCACTCTTCTTATAGTATTTCCTCGTTGCAATTTACATCGTTAATATTACAGCCCGTAATAGGGCAAAATACTACTGTATGACTATGTCCAAGTGGGTGAGTTGTTTGAACATGGAGAAAATTCTTCTCTTGGAGGGGTGATTGATTAGGTTTAAGGATGCAGGAGAATAAAGCGGAGACTTTTTCATGATTCGACAGTTCCTGCGCTTGAATTGTAATGAAAGCTGTACTTTCCCGGAATAACATGAAGCCACTTTACCATTTCAGTTTCTGCTTCTGCTTCCTTTTAGGGTCTCTTCCGAACTCCTTTTTCATGTACAACACTTGATTTCTGATTTCTCGTCCTTGGTTAGGCCGTCTCCAAAACCCCTTTTTCGGAAAATCGGATGATGCTTCTTCCTACTGCTTCTCTCATAGTCACATATGTGTACAGGTCTTTTTTTGTTCGTGGGGTCAAACATATATAGTCATATATGCAGGTTGGCTAAAGGAATTAAGAAAAGTGTCCCACCTAATTTATTATTACTTGTATATGGAGAGCGAAGCTCAAGCGTTTTAACCGACAGAAGTTGAGCTTTATTTTGTTTAATTTTGATAAGTTTCAGGAAGCATCAATGTGTTTATCAATGGGGTTGCAACAGAGGTGGAGAGGGGACCCATAGACATGAAATCAAAGTTTGGTGAAGATGTGATGTTAGTTCATTCGTCTGGAGTTCCAGTTCCTACCAATGACTTTGGCTTCTTATTGCACGATTTGCAGCCTGGTGAAAGCTACTTTCTGGTTAGCCCCCAGTGTGTATTCTGTTTAATTCAATGTTCTATTCTTAAGTTTTTTCTTTTAATTTTTTATCGGCTTATGATAAAATAATATCTTATTAATCCCCACACAATGTCATCAACATCCTTCAATTGAGATTACGACAGTAAATGGTGCATTTTATAAAAATATTTTTCTTATGAAATATTTTTTTAATTAGACGCATTTTCTTATATATTAAATTCGAGATAAATTATGTTGTTTGTTTATAACTTATGTATATAGTGAAATTTGATCTAAGTTCTATATTTTATATCAGTATTGATTTTAACTATGAAATAAATACCTTAAGTATATATTACAGAAACTATCATAATTTAGAAGTCAGAAAAGGGTTGAGAAATCTGAATTAAATGAGATTTTTTTGGCTAAATTTGATTTCGGAAATAGACTCTAACAACGCAACTAATGATTCGATCCATTTTGATATATGTTGGAAAACTAAAATGTAGAGTTTTAATTCCTTTGTTGGTGCGATTGTAAATTCTAAAGATGGTTGAATTTGGGTTTCAGGTTTTAAAGGCCGCATAAGAAGGAAAATGAACCGAAGCAACTATGACAGTAGAAGGAAGGCTGCCTCGCACTACATATATGCTCCTTTAATGATTTTTCTTTTTATCTCCAATCTCTTTTTGGTTTCTATCTTGTGTGTGACTCAAATAATACAGCCCTCATATAATTATTTATCTATTGTATGCTTCTTAACCAACCTGTTAATGATATGTTTTATCAGTTTTATCTATTCTGCGTTTGTGTTACAAATTCGACGTGCTATGAATGTGTAAGTCATGAATTATTATCGTCTTACTTATAAAGTTGTAGGAAGCATCATTTTTTATAAGTGGTGAACAATGTGGCTCATCTTAAAGTCCATTTAAATGCATAGATAAACTCTAATTTACTCCATTCATTTTTATTTATAAGTCATATTTAATTTTTTAACGTATAACTATTAAGGAAACTAGTGATCTCAAACTAGTTTAAAACTATCCCATCAATCTTATAAAAGCAAAAATATTGTTAATATAATTAAGCATAAAAATCTTCCTCATTATCTCTTTCAATTGTTATCGATCGCTGCCATAATTGGATAATATTGTGTGTGCGTGTGAAGGGTATTATTGAAAAAGAATATTAATTGCTTCATAAATTTATAATATGACTCGTAAAAAAACTGAAGTGGTTTATATAAAAACTGGAGGTAATATTATATATATTACAAAAAGAAGAAGAAGAAGAAGAAGAAGAAGCGAGAGAGGAAGGAGGATTGAAGAAAAAGGCGGTGAGAGTGTTAAAAAAGGAAAAGTGATATATATATATATATATATATATATATTAATATAGAAGAAGGTACGCACACTGGTTGGAGACATATCTAACTCTGGTTGACTCGTGTTGTCTATCTTTTGTGATATAAATTCCTTTTGTGAGAGAGTAAAGTTGGGGAGGCTGACATTTTGTGAACCAGCATACGGCTTCCTGCCTCTTCTTTAGCAAGCCCATGTTCATTGAATCTCCTCCTGTCCCCAAATTTTTATTCCCATGTTACTATTTGGTTTTGATTGCTAACCTTAATCATATCATTAGCTATTAGCTGATTAATTTAGTAATTTACATTAATGCTCTTGTAGAAATGAACATTTTTGGAGTGCTCCTGAGGATTAATTATCTTCAAAAGCCTCAATTGTAAACAATTTCACCCTAGAAACTCTCTGGATATCAAAGATTTATTTAATGAGAAATGTCTACTCTAGACAACTAAAAAAAAAAATTCAACCCCACAGGTGAGGTCTTTTCTTCTTTTCTCTTTGGCGCTGGTTTATCCTTATGTGTAGTTATTACTTATACATATATATATATATATATATATAGAACGTGTATATCACATGGTACTTTATAATAATTTGATATATATCTGTGTGTTATTGTACGTGCCAAGTTGAATTTAAATATAAATTAATGCTAATCAATATCTGGTTAGCAGACTAATCGATTAAGCCCTTTAGACTTTGAAAATTACATTTTGCTTTACATGAATTAACCTTTAAGATTTAGATCTATTTAATACAACAGTTATTTCACAAACATTGATTCTAGAAGCACAGGTTTACTGGTCAACAAGAAGAAGAAGAAGAACAGGTTTTACAATTATTTCGGCACAAAGTATTCGGGGTTAAGCCCATGTGAACGCAAGAAATACACTTAGTGTGTATTTGATTTTTAATTTATCAAAAGTTAGTTTGATAAAAATTTATTTAATAAAAGTCAGTTTGATAAAAGTCAATTGTTGTAATAAAAACTATGTTTAGATATATTTTTTTAAAAATCAGTTTGACAAATTGAAAGTTATTTAGATTAATAAAAATTTATACTTTTGAAATGTGTTTCAAAATATAGAATGACCAAAAAGGACATTGATTTATAATAATGTATAATTTTTATTATATAAATATAATATATTAAAAAATTGAAATAAATTTAAAATAACATAAAATTTAAGATGCTAAATAATAAGAATAAAAAATAAAAAATTTAATATTAAAAAAATATGTAATAATAATACACTCTCCATCATCGCGTCATTCTCGTCAACATTTGGATTGTCTCCGTCTTAATTATGGCTAAACTCTACTTCTAATCCATTGCCAGCACAACAGAGGAAGCTTAAGAGGGGCTAAGATAGCAGCAACAACAAGCATCCCATGTGCAAAGGGGTTCGAATGAGGGCATCGGGCAAGTGGGTGTCAAAAATCCAAGAGCTTAGGAAAAAGAACTGGATTTGGCTTGGCACCTTCGCCACGCCGAATATGGCGACGTGTGCCCACGACGTGGTTGCGCTCGCTATTAAAGGCCATTCTGCCATTAACTTCCCTGAACTCGCAAGTTCCCTGCCCCAACCTGCTTCCAACTCTCCCATAGATGTTCAGGCCACCGCAGCTAAGGTTGCTGCCATGAAGATATTAAGTCCTCCGATGAAGTCGCTCTTATCTTCCTCTTCTTCGTTGTCATTGGCAATGTCATCTTCCTCCTCTGGCGACTCATCCACCCCGAAGGAACTGGGCAAGATGGTGGAGATGCCACCTTTAGGGAGCAGCTTTGAGATGGGTGGAGAGATAGTAACACGAGATGAGAGATGAGAGATGAGAGAGCTCTCGGCCAAAAGAGATGGGAGTGATAGAACAAGAGCTCTCGCGCACAACAAGAATGACAAGGGTATTGTGGTCAAATATAAAATTAAATACTAGTTATTAATGCTTAAATCATCACATTCATGTTTGAAAAGTAACCAAATGGAGAGTTAGAAAATTCACGTTCAGCCATGTTTTACATGTACTTTGGGAAAGAGCTTTTGTTATAAAAAATTTCTCTCAAATAATATTTCACATCCCAAAAGTAAAAATGTACTTTTTGGATATGAGATGTTATTTTTCCAAACAGTGCCTTAGAAAAGCTATCTTCAATATTCAAATTTGATCTAATCAAATAATCACATGTGTAAAAAAATGTGTTCACAATAATTATTTAATACCTAATTGTACTTTGAACATGATTGCCATAAAAAAGAGAACACATCCATGAGTGAGGAAAAAATAAATGATAAAACCAAAGGATATACCTTGTATGGCCAGATATTGCATCACCATATTTACATCTCCTCTTTATATATAGAGTCGATAATTTAAATCAAGCTTAATTGATCAACTCAAAAAATTTAGAGCCAAACCTAAAAAATAATAATTTTTTAATCTTTAGGCCTATTCGGCTAACTCAAATAGGCCCAAGAAAATTTAGGCCAAGCCAGATAGGATTCAAGCTTGGTTTGAATACCGAATAAAAAAATACTTTTTAAAAAATATATAATATATAATAAATATTAATTTATTCTTTAATTTTATGTCATTTTATACTAAAATATCATGTATTTGAATGCATTACTATAGTTTTTTTAAAAAAATTAAAAATATTTACATTTTCATATTTTTATTATTTTTAATTAATAAAATGTCTCAAAATAATACTTCCTTCATTCAAAAATATAAGATATTTTTAACCAAATCTCAAACCTCAATAAAGTAGTAGTTATTTACTTTTAAATTAACCCTATATTTACATATTTACCCATGCTAAACACTCTACAATAAATATAAAATTATTATCAATAGAGGCACTTTTAAAAGAAAAAAAGACAATGATTATATCTCAAAAGATTAAAAATATTTTATATTTTTTAGCATTCAATTCTTTAAAAAATACCTTATATTTTTAAATGAATGTAGTATTTAAAATATATTTTAATATTAATTTTTATATTTTAAGACCCAATTTTTTTAAAAAAAGTTTTGAGTCCTATACATCATTTGCGCATCTAAAAAAATATATTTTATATTTTTATAAAATAAGATAATTAATTTTAAAATAAAAATAAAATTTAGGCATGTATAAATTCCTTACTCTACTATTAGATGAGCATAATAAATAGAATAATATTCTTAGATAATTATTTGGTTATCGTCCACACTAAAATTGGTTAAAAATTAAAAATAAACTAGAGTAAATACCCTTTATATGTAGAGGTTAAACAATATAAAAAGTTAAAAAATAATTAAAAAATAGTATTTTACTCATAATTAAATAATTTTATTTTACAAAATATAATAATGGTTATTTTTCTCATATTCTTAAAATGGAAAAGTATAGTTACCTAAAAATTATTAAAAATTTTAAATTAATCAGGAAAATAATTTTAAATTAGTGATCTAATTGTAATCTAATTGAGATTAACTTGATAATAATTAAAATAATTTAATTTAATTAAAATATATAAAATATTCATATATAATTGTGATAAGAGTAATATTTAAATAACTAAGATATTAATTTATAAGTAAAGAAAACATTCATAAATAAATTACACATAATATAACAAAACAGCAACAAGGCTACTTAAGTATAAAGTTGATAAATTATTATTTTTTATTTTATTCTTGTGAAGTTAAAATAATATTTATGCTTAACAGAATTATTCAAAATTTAGAATTATTCAAAAAATAAAAAAATATTTTTAAAAAGTTTCAAATATTCGAGTCGAGCTTGACTGTATGAGCTTTTTAATAAGGATATGATATTTTTATGTTTGATCTAAATAAATGTGACCTGCCTAAATTATCGGCTCTATGATGCATAATGTCAATGTTATTGGTAAGTGATAACCCACACACACACAGATATGTATGTATGTATGTCGGCAATCTTCTTTTTTTGTATAAATGAAGTGATGTCTATATATATTCCTAGATAAGTGCATTGTAATTGTTAGAATACTCTTTGATGGCTAAAAAAAAATGTCACGATATTATTTGAAACATTAATTGTTGATGATGTTTAATTTGGAGTTGGAAATTAAATTATAAATGGAGTTTGAAAGGTTTCACCCGGGGCCTTCTTAATACATCCAAGATCGCACTTTAAGACCGATTGAAAAGTTGAGATCGCCCTGCATAAAAGAACAGCTCAATGAGTACGGAATAATAGCAACAAAGCCCAAAAAAGAAAACCCTATTTAGTCCAGAAAATACGCACTTGAGGTGCATTGCAAGGCTGGTCCCCGGCACCGACAAGCACAAACAATGTACATGAGACGGATGTCTGTAACGCTCATATATATGTATGCATGTATGTATGGTTAGATTCTTGTTTTTGAGTTCCTAAATAAACAATATAATCTTGTCACAACTTACCATATTGGTAGAAAGAGTATTTAAGAAGGCACGCTTCATTGGAAGGAGCACGTGAGCTGGATTTGCAAATTGAGTTTTATTGGATGGCATCCGAGCAATCTCTATATTCTCGAGTATTCTCGTGCCATGCATGTCCCAAGGATATCCATTCCTCGCCTTCCATTTTTTATTTTATTCCCCCAACAAATATCTCACTCTTGGATTTCCCATGTGCTTCTACAAACTCCTCCTCTTCTTTTTAAACCAACCCTATCATTAATCCCTAACCTCAACATTTTGAATCACACAATTTTCCTGACTTCCACCTCCACTTATCCTTCTTATCTATGCCTCAACTCCGACTCATCCATCCGCATCCCACTCTTTAACTTTTGAGTTTTGATAACACTTTTACCTTTTTCTTGTTGTTTCGTCTCTCCGCCACGTCGGTGCCACCACACGGCCCCTGCCATTTGTATTTGACTTCACCCTCAATTTCACTATTTTTTTTGGCACAACTTACAATGATGACAACTAAATTTATTTAGCAGGTTAATTAATGGGAGGTTTTGACTATGTATATATCAATTGCTTAAGGGAACATACTAAACATGCATGAATATTTGAGAAGAGAGAGACAGCTTAAGGAGCGATGGGTGGGCAAGAAAAGGAAGCCCAAAAGTTTGGTCGGTTGTGTGGACGATGGCCCAAAACACGTGCAAGGAGACACCGTACCTGATTCGGCTCTCCAATTCGGGTCTAGTGGCCTCAACGAACAATGTCGGAATATAATGAACTTGAATTCCCCCACGTTTCACTCTACTTTCTCTTTCACACATTAATAACGTCCCATGATGACTCCCTTTTTTCATCACGTTTACAAAGACAGCCCTCTATATTCATCGTATTAATTCCGTCGCACACATCCTGTTTTTCATCCAAAACTTTGCCACGTCATCTGTGGATAAAATAACACTAACTCAAACTGTACGTCCTAATTTAACCATTTCAATTGCTAAAATTGGAGAATCCATCCATCCATCCATTATTATATTTCTTGAATGAACATCAACTCTGTCTAAATGCCGACACGAACAGAAATGCAACAAGACATGCAATTGCAATTCGTTCAGAATCAATATAATAAGATGTGAGGTGAGGAGCTGAGCGCGCGCGCACACATATATATTATAAACTATTGAGGTGGAGTCATATTTAAATGTCACGGGCAGTACATCTACAGAGCAGGGTCAAACATATCCCACATCAAACGTTTACCCAATTCAAAAAGTGCCAAACCCCACTGACATGTGTTTCCAAGTAAACAACCAATTATACTGAGTCCACCCCTCTCATTCATTCCACGGACCAGTCCAGTCCAGTCCAGTTCAACCCTCCTTGGCTTTACCTCAATTACAAAACGACCAAGTCTACGTCACCCAATAACAAACCCACCATCCTCCCTTCTTCCTCTCGTTTTCCTGCGTCCGTCCAACGCCATGAAATTGGTTCCTATTATAACTATTATTATTATATTTTCAAGCTACCCTCTCGCTTTTCTTTTTTCAAGCTTCCCTCTAATGAGTTCGTTTTTACTTTTATGTGCCCTTTTACCTTTTTGCGAAACTAACTGTACAGAATGGAGTGCGTCTAGGACCTACTTCTGCTGCACCCCTGATTTCTCTGCAACTACTACTGTATTAGCGACCCCCAATGGTGTTGCTCCTGACACACAACACCCACCCACTCTCTCTTCAGGCCATTCCCATCATACAGCTCCTACCCCAAGGAAATCGATGAATGCCATGTTCATGTTATCACCCACGTTCTCGCTTTCCCCAGAAATGGTGGGCACTGACCCAGATGCTGAGATTTCTGAGTTCGACTCTGAATTTGATAGGTCCACCGCTCCCATCAGCTTCTTCCCCATTTGTCCTCCTCCCTCGCTCCATCCCTTCCAACCCGCAAAATACTTGTCGAATTCCACGTCCCCAGTTGTCTTCAACTTCATCTCATGACAAAGGCCTGCAAAAATCCCACGGCTTAAACATAAACGACAGTGAGATACATTACATCGAACGAATTGGATGAAACAAGCTAGCATACCCATTGTTAGCGATCCCTGGCCTTGGGAACTCGGGTTAGGAAAAAATGTAGGACTGAGGGAGAGATCGGTGGAGGATGAGGCGGATTCATCCAAGAGGTTGCCGGAGTTGGTGGATTCGCTCACTGCATTATTTGAGAGAGTCAAATTTAAAGGCTTTGGACGAATGATTTCAGAACAAGATCTCCTCCTCCTGCCACCGCTTGATTGCTCTCTATGCTTCCTGGCCATTATCACGTGCCAGTGGTTCTTCACTGCATTATCTGTCCTCCCCGGAAACAGCTTGGCAATCATGGCCCATTTGTTCCCGTACATTCTATGAGCAGACAACAGTCTCATCTCTTCTTCCTCGGAGAACGGCCTCCTGTTAATTCTAGGATCAAGCTGGTTGAACCACCTCAGTCTGCAACTTTTACCTGCAATTACAACAAGTCAAGAGAAACAAAAATCCAAGGGTTTTAATTCCTTCAGAACGATAACTTACAATTCGAAAATCAGTTGAGTAACTTGATGACTTTCGGAAGCATTGCAACAAGGAGAGGCGGGGGGGGGGGCGCGCAGGGGGAAGAGAGAGGCACTGCCATATCTTAAGAACAGGGTTGCGGATTACCTGATCTTCCTTCGAGATGATCGGCGATCAAGTTCCAGTTTTGAGGACCGTACTGAGCTACGAGATCTTTGAGTCGGGCGTCTTCAGCTGGCCTCCAGTGGCCTCTAGCACAGAGCTTTGCGTGTCCGTTTCTCAACCCAGAAGAGCTCTTGGCTTCTATGTCTTGCTCGCCGAGTTTGAAAGGCAAGCTCACGTTTTGAGCCTCGAGAGGTTCAACAGCTTCACCGCCTCCTCCCATTGTTGCCCTGTTCCCCTGAAGGAGGCTCAGAATCTGAAAACCAATCTCGCCACCAGTCTGACCAAAAGTGGTTGACAGAGAAAGTTGGGGAGTTCGAACTAGAAGAGGGGAAACATGAGAAGGAACCGGAGGTAAGAGATTGACATCCCTACCGAAACCGTCGCCCCCATTGTTGAAGATTCGTGAACTCATGGAGGCAGGGAACCAAGGAAGGCAGAACAAGAGACAAAAGCGTTAGGAAACCGAAAGGACTCAACTTTAAAACCCCAGAGGGGGTTCTTTCTGGTGGGAGAGAAAAAAACAGAAAATGATGTGATCTTGAGTCAGATGAGAGCAGGATACAATAATCAAAAGGGTACCCGATACAATTGCATTGCATATTCCCTCTCTCCTTCATCCATATGCGGTGGTGGATGAGTACTACAGAAGGGAGGGGGGGGGGGAGAGAGAGTAATGGTTTGGCTGTGGGGTTGAGAGAGACTTGTGAGAATGGGAAGGAAGAAGAACGTTTCAAAAATCAAACATGAGGAATGGAATCGAGAGGGGGAAATAAAAACAAAAGGCAGAAGGGGGAGCCCACACACGATTCTGTTCACTCCGGTTTCTTTTTCTCGCTCCGGAAAAGGCAAAATAAAGAGAGGAGAATGGAGGGTCACTTGTCACGGAGATGGATCCTCAATCTCTCGGCGAGAAAATAATAAACAAAGGGATTTGAAGTGGAGCAGAGTCTGTGAGCTACATGCAGATGCAGCTCCAGATCCGCTCGTGTGGGTGTGTTAGACTTGGATGCCAAGCAATTCTTATTTGATTTTTCTTTCTGCGTGCAATTCTGCCCTTCCTGCTACAGCATCGGTGTTGTCTGCCTGTGAACTTTATATATATATATATATATATATATTTATTTATTTATTTATTTAAGAAACGAAAACGAAACGGTAATATAGAACGTCTTGGGTTACCTGCACAAGCATGATGCATCATCCTCCCCAATTGTTGCTCGCTTTTCTGACCCATGACCATTCCCATGGTCCTATTTTGTGTTTAAAATAAAACATCCGTATGGAAAATGCTCCTCCAATTTCTGGTCAATTCATTCAATTTAATTTCCAGCTTGCAATGACGCACTTGTAATAATGGGAAAACACGCATATGAGAGTATCATTTTATTTCCTGCCAAAAAGAGTATTACTCCCCTTGTTTTATTTATAAGGTGGGTGGGAAGATTAATTTTGATTATATTTATATAACACCTCTTCATTTTTTTAAGTACATTTTTACCTTTCTGTCAACATTAAATGTTAAAAAAGGTTATTAAAAGTAATTTTTTCTTTTATTAGAAAATAAAGTAAAAAATTATTAAATTTTAAGATAAAATTAATAAATTTAAAGTTTTTTTGGTAAAACATACTAAAAATAATTTATAAATAAAACCAAAAATATTACCTCCTCCATTCAAAATTTTAAGACATTTAAAGGATTAAATGTTAAAAAATATAAGATATTTTTAATTTTCAAGATGCAATCATTGTTTTTTTTTAAGTTTCTCAATTGAATAAAATCACTCTATATTTATTGTAGGATGAAACACTCTATTAAATAAGAGTAAATATAAAAAAATAAAATTAATACTATTTTACTGAAAGATAAAATTTAACTAAAAATATATTATATTTTTTAATACAGTATATTAAAGTTGAACGTCTTTTTACAAGTGGAAAAACAGAGGAACAGACAATAGGAAGCAGGATTTTGAACCTCGTTTTAAAATCGTTTTTGGAGGGGGGGGGGTTTGGGGGAGAAAAGAAAGGCTTTACTCGCATGTTTGGGATGATAAAAGGGCGGGGGAAAGCAGTGAAAGGAAGTACATTTAATGCAGCGCATCCAATTATGGATTCTCATTTTACGAGATCGGTCAGTGATTCAGTTGCATGCGGACCCATGAATTCCAGCCTCCAGGGTATTCGCCGACATGTATAAACCAGCATAAAATGCACAATTGGTCGATTTCAAAATACATACAATAATGACGGATGCATATTAACAAGAAAGCTATACCATACTCCCTCTGTCTCCAACTTTCTTTTTTAAGTGTATTTTATTTTTAATGTAACATATATAGAGAGTTATTTATTGGTGTAATTTTCAATTTTATGATAATAATAGATATGAGGAGGGGCAAGGGATGAGGGACTCTTCTCCGTGATGAACCGTACAATAGGATATGAACATTATATTTTATTATAATAATAATAATAATTGAATCAGAGAAAATAAATACAAGCTTTGGTGATATATAATTAGAGGAGTTGGTGACGGGGAAGAGAGAAATGAAGCGTGGGGAGGAGACAGGAAAAGAGGTGGGAGGATTGCATAGAGGGGGAGGCACACGCTTTCCCCGTTTCTGGCTTTCCGTTGGGCTGACCCATGTGAGGCCTATCTCTCCTCGTATCCCCTAAACGGCAAATACCTCAACCCTCCACACGTGATCCCTCCCGCTTTCCAACATCCCCACCTCTTTCTCCAGTCTGCGTACGACACCCCTAACGTTATTCACCTCCCTTGTACCTTCTTTTGGTTTTTTCCTTTTAGCCAAGCACCCCCTTTGTACTTGAATCATTGTTTTATTTCATACTATAACATATTATTTTTATTTTTATTTATAAATCATTTTTAATATGTGTTGTCATAATCAAAAAAAATTTTAAATCCTGTTAAATTTATTTTAAAATTTAACAAATTTTTACTTTTACTTTTAATAAATATTTTTAAATCTTATTAATAGTGTGTTCATTCAAAGTATTTAATAAGGATAAAAATGTAAAGAGGAGCATTAAAAATTAACAAGTGCCTTATAAATAGGATCAATTTTTTTCTCTCTCTGTTTTACAAATAGGACTAGAAGAGTATAATCTTGGATAATTTCTATCAAGGATATTCATACAGACTTAATTTCAAGCAGGTTTAAAAAATTTGTACAATTTCAATTCAATTCAAGAGAAAAAAGTTAAAAAATCTTCAATGGTGAAAAGACCAAAACACCTTCACTTGTTATGTATAATTATTAGTTGTTAATTTTCTTACTCTACTTGTTAATTTACGAGTATGAGTTATAAATTACATGAGTTAACGTGTTAATAATTATATAAGATTTGATATCAGTTTTTCAATCATAAGCAGCAAAATCAAATGTCAAAGTGTTAATTTTACTTATTAATTTATTAACGTCAGTTTTAAATTATTGACAGGCCTTATAATTTACTAATGTCAATTGCCAAAACGCTAATTATACATATTTTAACAATATATTTTATCTCACCAATATTTATGAAAAGTAAAAAGTGAAATTTGTGATATTAAAATATTAACAATATGTCCTGTAAAAAGAAACAAAAGAAATCAATTTCTCTCTACTTTATATATAAGGCTATAATAAGTGGTAAGTTTTTTCTAACCAGCTCATCAAAACAAATATGATATCTAACTAGAGAAAAGGAAGGAAGGATGGAAAAGAAAGTTTAACACACTTATTTTGGGTATTCTCAAGCTCCAAAATTGTTTCCAATCCCTCCAAGTATTTAGCCCTAACAGAGCTCTACACGTTTGCTTCGTTCTCCCTTTTTGTTTATTTTTGTTTTTGCACCAAATTTGTGACTTATCCTATTTGATATTTGACCATGCACCACGGCAAATGGCACAAAAAGGTTCTCCTTTACTGATTGCCATTTGTCGCGTCCGAAGACATAGGGGCTCCCTCTTTAACTCTTTTCACATTTTGATACTTGAGTGGCTCGACTCCACTCTAGAGCTATATTTAGGGTTGGAATCATAATCAAATATACTCATTAGACCTCTTTAGCTACACAAATTACATCAACTCACGTAATTAACTTTATTTATTTAGTTAATCAGGGATTGAATTTCTTAGAATGTTATATCCTACTGTTGGGGTGATGAAGATCAATGTTGATAGGGATTTTCATGATGGGTTAAAGAGAGGGGCGAATGTGACTCTAGAGTGTGGAGAGGTTGTCCAATTGGTGCATATGAGCGACAGGCCTTTGAGCACCCAAATTTCACGATCCTTAAGGAGATCTAGTTGTATGCTTCGGCGTGATTGGAGAGTAGAGGCTTGCTTCTGCGGCGATGAGCGGAATAGAGTAGTTGATTTACTTGCTAAGGAAGCTACGAGCGTGCCCGTTGACTTGCTTTTTTTTTTTTATGCACTTTCTAGATGGTATATTGGAGGAGATTTGTTATGACATGTTGTCCTTGGGCATGTTCTGTTCTTAATTATTCATTTCATCTCTAAATATAAAAAATATTTTAAAAATTTTTTTATCTCTAAATATAAAAAATTGTTAGCATAATTTTTAATAAATAGATTATTATATCCTTATTAAATTAAAAAAATAAATACTCTCATTAATTTACTTTGAAAAAAGAAATTCATTTTTTATTTACAACAATTAAGGACAAAATTAAAATATTCTATGCTTTTAATTAGATAATTATTTTTTATTAATTTACGTGATTTGATTAAAAATATTTTATATATGGGGACGAGAGGAGTAGTTGTTTTGTATTTTTCTCTGTAAATAACACATGCACTGTCATAAATAAAGTATTAAATAAAAGATATTTTTAAAATTTTATATTTTTATTCAAAAATATTATTGTAAAGTGTATTTAATAAATTTTATTAAAATATATAATTTTATCTAAAAATATTTTATAAATTTGTTATATATTTCACTTTGTTTTTCTATTCTGCATTGGGTCTTCATCGTGCTGTTTCGCCATTAGTTTTAACAACAAAACTAATGCTCTTTTACTTATAATCATTTAACTTTTTAATTTGAAGTTTGTCTTCTTCTTCCAAAAAAAAAAAATGCGAACCAAGACAAGTAATATATTAGAATACAGCCAGTAATTCAACTGGGATAAGCTTATGAATCGGCCTCAATTTTGATTACATTTAAAGTATCCTATCCTTTTTTAAAAATCATATAGCCAAGTCTAAGTGTCCAACCTTAATATCTTTGAGCTTCGAGCTTATTTAGGTCAGCTTGAATGCCTAAAACTTTTTAAAAATATTTTTTTATTTATTGATCTAATTTTAATTTTTAAATAATTCTATTAAGCATATAAACTGTTTTAACTTTAAAAGAATAAAATAAAAAATAATAACTTATCAAATTTGTACTTAAGTAGCTCTATTACTATTTTGCTATATTATGTGTAATTTATTCATGAATGTTTCCTTTACTTATACACTAATGTCTTAGTTGTTTAAATATTACTCTTATCATAGTCATATATAAATAGTTTATATATTTTAATTAAATTAAATTATTTTAATTATAATTAAATTAATCTCAATTCAATCACTATTACACCATCAATTTAAAATTATTGTTTGTATTTGTTCAAAAATTTTAATAACTTTTAGGAAAATTATAATTTTTATTTTTTAAAATACGAGAAAAATAGTCATCATTATATTATAAAAAAATTATTTAATTATAAGTAAAATACTATTTTTAAAAATTATTTTTTATTTAAATTTTTATATTATTTAACTCTTTCATACAAAGGGTATTTACACTATTTTGTTCTTAATTTTTAATTAAGTTTGGTGTGGATAATAACTAAATAATTATTCAAAAATATTGTTCTATTTATTATGTTTATGTAATAGTAGAACCGGAAATTCCTATATGTCCAAATTTT